GAGTTCTGGGAGCGCCAAGAGCGATTTTGCGAGGATGTCCCAAGCGATTCCGGCTTCGGCGGCAGCCGTTCCGGGTCCCGCCCCGACCCCCTGTGGAGTCATCTGCTGCTCTCTTTTGAGACCACTAGAAACCTATCAGCAAAAGCTGTTAGGTAATGAACATATGGGGAATCCTGTAAGTTGTGTGTATTCATTTCTGTGTCCCAGGGCCCCTTCAGAGAAGGCCTTCTCCTTCTCGCTTCCCCCCCTCGCTCGCCGCCGAATTTGGAGTTGTCGGGGGGTCCGAGGTGGCCCAGCACTGGTTCCCGCCTGTGGGGACGGGCGGGCAGGTTCGAGGTTTTGGGTTCGGGGAGTTTTTTTTTTTTTTTTTTTTTTTTTTTTTTTTTTTTTTTTTTTTTTTTTTTTTTTTTTTTTTTTTTTTTTTTTTTTTTTTTTTTTTTTTTTAAAAAAAAAAAAAAAAAAAAGATTTATATTTTTTTGTTTTTGTTTTGTTTTGCCCTTTTCGGTCTCTGGGGGCCGTTTTCGGGCCCCAGGAACATGGAAACTAGGGGGCCACATGCGAACCCTACCCCTACCCCCCACGATTTCCGAAGGGGAGGGTGGGGTTCACTCCGCTCGGGAGCTCCCGAGCGAAATGAACCCCACCAACCCCACCCTCCCCCTCAGAAGTCGTGGGGGGTAGGGGTAGGGTTTGCATGTGGTCCCCTAAAAACGGATCCGGCGTGAAAAACTGCCCCAGATGGATCCTGGGGGAGGTCGGGGGACTGATTCTGAGCGGATTTGCCTTCACCTCGCCTCCTGTCCGATTCTCTGGGGCCCCAGCCAGTTCAGACCCTCCGGCCGCCTCCAATCGTGTTCAGCAACCTTCGTGCTCAATGTGCGCGGTGAGTTCCGAGTCAACACGCTACGTGTGGCGTGTTGCGTACCAGGGCAGCTCAGCCCCGACCCCCCTCGCGACGTGAAGAAAGCGACGGAGGTTTTTGTACTTTTTGTTTTGTGTTCCTCTTTTGTTCGTTTTACTATTTACGGCTTCTGGGCCCCCCCCCACCAGGCCTTGGGACTGCCAAGGAAGGGCTCAGGATGAGAAGCTGGTCCTGGGGAATGGGTCGAGGCCTTCGAAGGGCCATGTTGTGAACAATATCGTGACGTCGGGCGTCTGTCGGAGGAGCAAGAGGTCATAATAATGATGCGTTCCCGGATTTCCAGGATTTCCAGAAGTTCCTAATGTTCCATACGGGCCGCTCAATACCCCAGAACTCCCGAAACGTATCCTGAGCCAATCGCATCATGACCATTCTCGTCCCAGTCTAGGTCTGCGACCACTGGCAGACTCTGCGCCCCTGTGTGGTCTCGCCGGCGCTGGGGTGTCGGAACGCCCCAGCAGGGGGCCCACCTGTCTGCAGACGTCCTGCCCCATCGCCAGCGCCTCAGAGGTCGGGCCTGCAGGTGTCGGGTTCACATGCAGCGGCTGCGCGGCTCCTGGGCCCACCACGGCCTCGGAGGCCAAGGTCTACTGCTCCTGGAAGTAGGAGCGCACTACCCGGGGCCTGCCGTTCTCACTTGCCAGCCACAGGTGTCTCAATACACACTTGGATGTCGCTGCGTATATAGACACACTTGGGTTGGATACGTCTAAAGACAACGCGGCCGCTGTTTTCGGCACAGTACAAGGGAGGAGGAAGGGCAGATACGTCTACGGTTGGTTTCTGTCCTAGAGCAGTTCTCAGATGGTACTCCAACCACGGCCCTCTTCTCCGACGTCGCGGTTCTTCGTGACGCGAGCCCCCGGTGCGTTTTCAGCTGGAGTCGTGTGCGGACGGTTCTGGGGCTCGGAAGCGGTCCCCAGAGGCCGATCACGTCGAGAAGCCGGCCCTCCGACGCCCAGATCTGCGGGACGACGTTGATGCCGACGACGACGACGACGAAGACGACGACGACGAACACGACGACGACGACGACGACGACGACGACGACGACGACGACGACGACGACGACGACGACGACGAGGACGACGA